AGGAGCGGGAGGCCAGGGCTGAGCCGCTCCAGCAGCGCCAAAGGGATTCACTCGCCTGCAGCATCTTGTGGTGCTGCCCCAGTGCACAAACCCACCCGGCCAGCAGCCACCTCAGACACTGTCCCCAGCAGCGCCACCACCCACCACGGCACTACAGAGCACCTCTGTGCCCTCGCCAGCGCTGCCTCTGCCTCTCACCTCCTCCAAATGGTGATGGGGACACAGCTGCACGGTCCCCGGCTTCGTCCCCAGCCTTGTGGCCGAGTGCTGCTGGTTCCAAGAGCTCTCTGCCAGCTCCAGCTCCACCACCACACCCCTGATGGGTCCCTGACCACGACATTTGCACTGCTCACCCTCCCAGCCCATGCTGAGTGCCCATCCCTACCCAGGTGAGGTGTCCAGAGCCATGGTGAGCGTCGCCCCGCTGAGCCTCCGCGTGTCCCACAGCTTCACCTCCCGCTCCCGCATCTGCAGGGACACAGACACAGCGTCAGTGGGCACTGGGTGGCTCCACGGTGCCACCACCTTCACCAGTCACCTTCCACCACCCCAGCAAGGGCCAGGGCACCTGGAGAGGGGACTTCCTGCTCCCATGGGGGACAGGCCACCCAAAAAGCACTTGGGGTGCTTTGGCACAGCAGCCACAGGGAGTAGGGCTGGAACACGCCAGAGGTGCCAGGGCCACCTCCTGGCAGGGACTGTACCTGGCTGAACCCCACGGAGATGAGGCAATCGCTGGAGCCCATCCAGAGCAGCCGGGAGTCCTTGTTGTTGTCGTGTCCCAGGACACTCTGCAAGGCACAGGAGACAGGGCTGTCAGAACTGCTGCCAGCCTTGCAGCACGCTGAGGGGACGTGTGCTTCACCAGCCTGAGCACGTGGAGCGAGTGCTGGCCCTGCTGAGAGCTGCCCTGGGGACAGTGCGGTGGGGACAGCCTGCAAGCAGTGACAGCCCTGACTGCCCCCATGCCAGCGTGGTTGCCTTGTGGAGCAGCTGGCCCAGCTCCCAGCAAGGAGCAGAGGGTGGGAGCAGGTAATGTGAGTGTGACAATGGCTCCCGTGTCCCCAGGGCTCTCCCCACACCAGATCACCCGGGTGAGGGGGACAGAGTGCTGCGAGGAAGCTGCTCCATGCCACAGACACAAGAGGAGGCTCTGCCATGGCAATGATGACAGAGGCACTTACTTCCCTGGCTGCATCCCCAGGCTCTTTATCCATGCTGAATCCTGGCTCCTGGAGCTGGGTGCCCCGTGGGTGTCCGGACGCTACTGAAACATGGCAAGCTGAGCCTGGCCACGTTCACCAGAGTGCTCTGATGCCCTGCACCCTGCTTCACCTCTCCCCTGGCTCCCTGTGGGGTGGGACCCCCAGCCCACATCCTGGTCCTGCTGCAGACAGGAGGGGAAGAGCCTCCACGGGGCTGTCAGCGGGTGTTTCCCAGCTCCCATGTGGTGACCAGATGGGCCCTGCGGTTCAGGCACCCCAGTGGGAGCTGCAGGCAGCCCTGGCCCGCGGCACAGGCAGCACTCACAGCCCCTCGCTCTCACTGAGCAGAGCCAAGAACTGGCTGCTAACGAGTTTGGAGCTGGCAGGGAAAGTGCAGGGCTCTGCCAGAGCCAAACCTGGCACGGCGCTTCCGGGACCTCTGTGCAGGGCAGGGGCACCAGGCCTGGGGGCAGGAGGGGTGAGGAGGAGCCATGAGCTGTGTCCCCCTTGGTGTGAGCACTGTGACCACCGGCCATGACCGCACTGTGGCCACCAGCGAGGCTCTGCCACCACAGCAGCCAGAGAGGGGCCATGGAGGGGTCACAGCTCGCTGGAGAAGCTCTGCTGGAGCAGCCTCCACCCCAGAGAGATGCCACTCTCTGGAGAGAGCCAGGGTGGGAGCAGGGGCGCGGTGCCAAGCCCGTCGTGCCCTGGCTCCGTCACGGCAGCTGCCCTGCCAGCACAAACACGGCTCCCTTGGAGAGGCAGCGCTGGCCCAGCCCAGCCCGGAGCTCCCAGCCGCAGGCCAGGATGTGGGGCAGGAGCTCCGGGCCCCCAGCGCCAGCACGCTGGCATGGACCCAGCAGGGAAAGGACCTGGAGAAGGGAACGTGTCCCAGGATCGCTGCCAAGAGGGATGGAAACTCCAGGAGCTGGGGCCAGCCCGCGCGTCAGCCAGGAGAGCACTTCTGCACCTGAGCCGTGTGGCCCAACATCTGCAGATCCCATACCCGACTGACGGCGCCGGCTCCGCAGCCCTGGGTCCCGCGGGTGCCCCGGAGCCCCTGGCGGTGCTGGCAGTGCCCGGGGCGGTGGCAGTGCCCGGGAGCCCCTGGTGGTGCTGGCAGGGTTTGGGAGGGCAGGGTGATGCTCCCAGCCCCCGGCTGCCGGCTGCGGCGCAGGGCCATGTTTTCTGCATTAGTTCCATCCCGGCTGAGCTGTACGTATGGCAGCAAGTATGCGGGAGGCTGGGCTGCTCCGTGCTCAGCCTGTGCAGATGTTGCCAGAGGTGAGCCTGCGGACAGCAGCTCCCCTGGTGCAGAGGGTCCTGGCAGGGACAGGGCGGTGTGGGCTGGCACTGAGGGTGGACACTGGTGTGGCTCAGCCCTGGGGCACCCGTGGGGCTGCTGTGCACCCCTGGGGCTGGCAGAGCTGGGCAGAGACCCTGGCAGCTTCCCGGAGTGATGCTGGAACCCCTGGAGCAGGGAACCAGCCACAGCCCAAGGGACGAGTGTCCCTCCTGTGCCTTGTCCCCCTGGCAGGCTGCAAGGAGCCCACCAGCCCTGGGCCAGCACGGGGGGATCCAAGGAAGCCTCCCAGCTCCCTGCCAGTGCCCAGGCAGCCCAGACTCCTCCTGCTCATTGCAGATCCAGCCCTGCCGGTTTTGGGGAGCCTGTGCCCCCTCCTCAGAGCCGGATCGGCTGCATGGGGAGAGTTTCCAGCACCGTCCCTCTCCCAGTCCCAGCCGATCCCTCGTGGGCAGGCTGGGGTGAGGTGCTGGTTTCCATGGGGGTCCCAGCCCCTCTCCCGGTGCAGCCCGGGGCTGCGGGGGCCCAGGGCTCGGCCGCAGCTGTTGGCAGCGCTGCGCGGGCTCGGGAGCTGGGAACAGCTGCCCGCAGGGAGCGGCCGCTCCGGCTGCCTGCGAGAGCCCCACACAAAGCCAGGGCTGCTCCGGCTCCCAGGCGATCCCTGTTTCCCCGGAGCCGTCACCCTGAGCCGGATGCGGGGCAGGGAGAGCCGGAGATGGGAGCCCGGGGCAGAGCCCTGGGGCTGGATGGGCGGGAGGTGGCCGGGGGGGTTCAGAGCTCTGCTCTTGGCAGAGCCCCCATGGCTGGCAGGGCTGGGACAGCTCAGCCCTGCCCGTGGCTAACAGCCCATGGGCATGGCTAACAGCCCACGGACATCTGATCCCCGTGGGAAGCAACCCCAGCAGCGGGATCTGGGATCTGCGTGGGCACAGGAGGCTCCAGTGCCAGGCTGAGCTGCCCCTTTGCCAGGCGGTGCCAGGGCAGGAGGGGTCTCTGGCCAGGGCACTGTGGGGGACTCTGGGGACAGACACCCACCCTACATCCATGGACTTGGGGAAGCTGCTGCTCCTTGCACACCCACGAGGCAGAGGAACGGCTTCCCAGGAGCTGAAAGGGTTAACCATGCACCGAATCCTCCTCTCAGAACAGGAATGTGAGTGATGTCTTTCCCTTGCCAAATCCCAGCTACTCCAGAGGTAACCAGGAGAGCAGAGCAGCCTCTCCCAGGCCAGCCCCACTCCTGGTCCCTACCTGGAGCTCAAGGAGCCCAGGAGCTGTCACCTGCCCCAGGGGACTGCAGGGATCCCACAGAGCCGGGGGGTTGCCCCAGCAGCCATCACACACCAGCACAGGCCCTGCCTCTGCCAGGTGTGTGTGTGTGTGTGTGTGACACAGGGCAGGGACAGTCCCCTGCCGCCCACGCCACCTCCCCAGTCCCACTGGCCAGGGCAGCATTGCTGTGAGGCCCCCGTGCCCTGGGGAACTGGGCACCACCAGGCTCTGCCTGTCCCCCCACCACCAGCACGGCCCCCCTGCTCCATCCAACCCTCCTGCCCTCGGTGAGGCCGAGGCCATGCCCCAGAGGATGCTGTGGGCACAGCAAGGGCAGAAGGTGGGTGGGCTCCTGGTGGGCACAGACACCACGAGGCTGGGGTGGGGGCAGGAGAGAGGGATTTGCTGCCCCGGGGGGTGGGCAGCTGCAGCAGCCAGCAGAAAGCAGCCAGCCCTCCTGTGCTGCCTCTCCCCTCCTCCTGCAGCCAGCAGCCCCACCAGCCCTGCTATGACGCCATCAAATCCCAAAACATCTTTGCCCTCTGGAGAGCAGCCTGCCAGGAGTCCCAGGTCAGTCCCAGCTGAGGCTTCTGAAATACCACGAGGAGCCCCAGAAATGGAGATGCCAGCCTGTGTGGGCCTCAGCTGCTGAGGCCATTCCCAGTGGGAGGGACGGGCACCCAGGCCAGGGCGAGCCAGTGCCACCACACACACCCACACCCCTGAGATGCCTCGGGCTCGTTCCAGATCCTCCTCGACTTCCCCATGTCTGCCATTCCAAGCAGCATTCCTGGGAAGGACGGGCTGGGGGAAGCAGAGCAGAGGAAATATAAACAGTCCCGTGCAGCTACGCTGGGGAACAGGAGCATGAGAGCGCCGAGCGTGCGCTGCTATAAATAGGCTGCCCAGAGTCAGGCCAACTTTTTCATAGCTTCCCACGGTCTCCTTGGGAATGTGGGATGCTGTGGACCTTCCCCCAGCCCGGAGGAAGCTGCTGCCGAGGCTGGGAGTCAGGTACCCCCGGGGTGACCCCAGCGTGGGACGCCGTGGTGATGGGGCAGTGGGAGGAAGGCTGGAGTCTCTCTACGTCCTGATGATGACAAGGGGTCCCCAGCCAGCCCTGGGCTGACAGCTGGATCCTGGGCAGAGGTGACATGTCAGGCTCCTTGGAGTTCTGGTTGTGCGTCAGATCACCCCAAACCTGGGTCTCCACCCTGCCACAGCATCACCGTGCCACCATGGGACCCTCTCCATGGTGTATCTCCCGCTGTGGCACAGCTGATACGGTCCATGGGATGGTGGCCGTGGTTTGGGACGGGGGCTGGAGTCCCTCTTTCCCCCAGAACCTTGAGCAGGGCTGGGACAGCCCCGGCTGTGCTCAGACTGTGAGCACCGGCTCTGCCCATCACCGAACTCTGCCCCGGCCCAGCCTGCGGGGACAAACCCCGGCGGGGCCAGCCCCCAGGGACACTGTCGCAGCTGTCCCCGGGCGCCCTCAGCCCCGGCCCGCTCATTAGCGCGGCTCATCCCGAGGCGAGCGGGGCGGGCCTGGCCCGGTGCGGGGCCGTTCCCTCGCCCCCGGCCCTGCCCAAACGCCGGCGGAGGAAGTTTCTCGTGAGAACGGAGCCGGCTCCTCTCATCCCACTCAGCGGCTGCCCCCTGCTCCTCACGGACGGCGCCTGTCTCAGGTGCTGGCCAGATGCACACACAGCCCCTCGCAGGGGGCAGCAGGACGTGGCCCATGGGCTCTGTACCCAGGGCAGGGTGGCTGGAGCAGCGGGCAAGCAGAGATGCCACCTTAGTACCCAGGGTGTATCTGAATCACTGCCCCACACTGCTGGTGACCCATCTGAGGCATGAGCTGGGTGGGTATGGGTATGGGTATGGAGCTTCCCTGCTCAGCCTTGTGTCCCCTGTCCCACCAAGGTGAGGGACCTTTGGCGGGGTTTGCACGGGGATTGCAGGGGGGTGAGGGCAGGACCAGCGACACTGAGCCCCGACAGGGCTGCAGCCACAAGGGAGAGGCTGTGACTCGCTTCCAGGGGGAGGGTCAAGGCGAGGAGAGTGACCACCGCCCTGTGGGAGGGGAGGACAGGGCAGCGTGGCCTTGGGAGGGGATAAGGCAGAGCACAGAACTCACAGAACTCTCTGGAAGGACAGTGGTGCTTGGACCTGCACCCAGCCAGCAGCAGGAGCGTGGCCCCATGGGGTGGCAAGGCAAGACCAAGGGCAGCTCTGGCATCTCCGCTGCCAGTTTAGGGCACTGAGAGCAGCAATAGGGTGTGAGCACAGCCCTGACGCTCACAAAGGGGCTGCAACAAAGGATGGGGATCCAGCAGGATGAGGCCACTGCTCTCCCAAGGGAAATGATGGCCCCGGGTACATACCAGGCACCCCACGGGGTCAGCCAGCCCCCGGCCACGCTGCGTCACACGCGTCTGCCCGCTGCTGGGATAGGCTCAAAATAGCTGCTAAGGGCATAGCTGGGAATGGAGGGTCAGGACCTGGCGGGGACACGGCCACAGGGTGTGGCAGCCTGCCAGTCACCCTCCCTGTCACCCACCCTCGGTCCCCAACCCCACTGTGCCACATCCATGGCACCTGAGAGAGCAGCAGGCATTAGGAGGAGCGACCACTCCTCCCTGAGCTTATTTTAGCTCCTTCTCAATTCTTTTCCCCTGCTCTAAACAAAGGAATGTTTAATGAGGCAGGCTTGGCAAATTAAGAAATCTAGCTGGAGGAGCAGCCTGGGGCTGGCTCTCAGCTCCACACAGGGCTCAGGGTGAGCCGGCAGCAGGACCCTGTGCTGGCTGTGAGGAAACCCAGCCCACGGTGCTGCAGGGGCCAGCACAGCTGGGAAACCCATCCTGCAGCTCACCTCTGCAAAAAAACCCAGGCAACTTCAAAGCCAGGAGCCTGCCAGGTGCTGGCACGGCCCCGGCATCACCCGGGGGGAGAAGGAGACTCTCCAACCAACCCAGCCCTCCAGCAATGGGGAAAAAAGAAAAGAACAAAACCCGGGAGCATTATTCTTCTTGGCTAAGCAAGCCCTGTGCAAAGTTCCAGAGGATTTATGGCATTTTAAAGTTTTCCCCTTCAGCAGAGCACTTCTCCAAGACTAAACATCTCCATCCACTGCGAGGCAGCCGGGCAGGGCCGCGGCAGTGAAGGTGAATATTTCTCTTGGCAAACACAGAGTGCCGGCCCCGGGCTGGATCAGACAGCAGAGGAGGGAAGTGAACTGCCTGCTTTGAACAGCCACCATCATTCACACGTTATTTTTAATAGCTCAGCGAGACAGAGTCCACCCTCCCCAGGAGACTTGGCTCGAGCCCATCGCACTCACAGCTCCGCCATCAGACAAGCCGACAGGTCTGGCAGGGGGAGAAGGGGGGCCACGAGGGGAGGGGAGCACTGAGGCCAGCAGTGGATAAATTTTGGAGTAGAGAATGGGCTCTTCTAGCCATGCTGAGGCAACTGGAGCGGGACAAGGTTGTGGCTGCCGCAGGAGTGCTGGGAGCACTTTGCCCCGGCTCGTCCGCACGTGTCACCGCTGGGTCTGTGTTTATTTTTTGTGCTGGGGTGTTTATAAGGCTGCCTGAAGGGTCAGGGCATCATTTGTACAGCAGGAAGCACCCAGGGGCCTTTGGGGAGCTCAGCACCTGGGTTATGTGCAGGAGCAGGTGGGAAGTCCTGGTGCAGCCCTGGAGCTCTGGCTCCCTTCCATCACTGTGCCTGGGCACTGTCACCACAGCCATTGGCTCTTGAGCCCACAGGCAGCAGGAGATGCACCAGCAGGAATGACAGAGTCCACTGCAACCCTCTTACCCTGCTCTCCACTGCATCCCTCCCTTCCCAAGGGCTTCCAGCCCCTTCTGCAGCCAGAGACCCCAAGCCACAGGAAACCTCTAATAAGAGGCTGTTTGAACTTGACGTCAGGGCTTAAATTCTCTCCTTATTTCCTAATCACTGTTATTTGCTGAGTTGTGCAGATCCAGCTGCCCAGCCCTTGCCCTTGGTGGGTCCTCGTGCCCAAGAGCCTTTGGTCCAGCTCCCACAGGGCAGGGAGCCCAGAGCCCTCACACACACAGGCTTGCCTGGCATGTCCCACTGCACTGGGGGTGCTCCCTGGCCTGGTGGGAGGGCAGGGTCCCCCTGCTGAACCCCACCAGGGTTAAGGGGACAGCCCTATTCCCCATGCCCTCAGCTCCTGGCATCTCCCAGCCAGGGCTGGCATGGTCTGGGGGACCAAAGCTCACCCCCCTGCAGCCTGGGCAGGGCTGCCTGCAGCACATCCAGAGGGGACATACCTGGGAGGCAGCTGGGCCTGCTCGGGGGTCAAAGATCCGCAGTTTCTTGTCCTGGTGAGATAAAAGAAAACAGAGGAGGGTTAAGGACCTTAGGGCCAGCAGGATGTCAGGATGCAAAAGGCAGAAGGCTGGAGTGAGCAGCCCTCCCCTTCCTGCCCATCACTCTCCTGCCTGCAGTGCCTATCCCTATGGATGGCTTGCACTGTGTCCTCCCACATCGTGGGCAGGGGGCACCCCCAGAACCCCAACACACTCAAAACTGCTCCCAGAAAAGGAGGGAGCCTTCCAAGTAGGATCAAGGCTGGAGCCCGACCCTCAGATGCCATCCTGACAGTGCTGCAGGAGAACGATCCCCTTCCTGCCTGGCACCCCTCTGCCAAAGGGGGCACGGCTGGCAGGGCACAGAGGCAGCAAGGGGGTGCCCGGGTGCCAGCCCTGCTGCCAGGGGGCTGTTTGGGGAGCACGCATTGTGCCAGGCACAGCCACAGGGCACGGGGGCAGATCCACACCCCAGCCTGCACGGCTTGGGCTTGCACCCCCTGTGCCCAGCTCTCACGCTTGGCACGGGGCTCCATCCATGCGCTGGGACCCCGGCTCATCCCTGCGGGCCGGGCCGGGCTCCGGGCTGCCCCCGGGGCTCCCCCCGCGAACCCTTCGCTCTCCCTCCCTCCCTCCCCAGCTCTGGGGCTGGGGCTGTGCGCTCAGAGCGGCCTGCTGAGCCTCCGGCACGGCCTGGGGGGCTTGTGGTTTGCACACTCCCCTCGCACACTCCCTTTGCACACTCCTTGCACGCCCGCCCCGCCGCCGTTCCCGGCGCGTCCCGCAGCGAGCGGCCGGCGCCATCTAGCGCTGCTCCCGTCCCTCCTCCTCCCCGCGGGCTCGCTGACCCCGCTCCTGCCCCTCTCCACACCCAAACTTCCCGTCCCTCCACGCTCCCCGTGCCTGGAAGTGTTCCAGGCCAGACTGGATGGAGCTCCGAGCACCCCGGGCTAAGGTAAAGTGTCCCTGCCCATGGGTGGAACGAGACGAATTTAAGATCCCTTCCAACCCAAACCATTGTGGGATTCTGTGGAACGGGTGGCCCCCAGGATCAGGGTACATCCAGCCCATCCCTGCCGTGCCGCCCCGAGGTGCCCCCTGGCACTGCTTACCTTGCAGGAGGTGCCCAGGAGGCGCCCATCTCGCTTCCAGGTCAGGCTCTGCAGCTGGTCCCCGTGGGAATCCAGGACTGTGGGGATAAAGCACGGTCAGGGCCAGGATCAGGCAGGGTCCCCACTGCAGGCAGGCCAGGAGCCATCACTCTCCCAGCCAGAATATTTCCCAGGAGAAATGATCTGGGTGGCAGCAGGATGCAGCGGGACACTGCTGTGTCTGTGCAGGGAGCGTTCCAGTGCTGCTGGCAGTTGTAAACAAAGAGCAGGAGCACTGGGAAGGCCACAGAGCCACGCTGCCACCCATCTCCTCTCCCCCTCAGGGTGGCCGAGGTCTGGGCAAGGCTGCTCAGCAAGCACCCACATCCACCCATGCCCTGGGCATGCAGAGAGAGGGATCTGTCACCCAGGGGATCCCCAGCAGAGCTCCTGTGGACACCTGGGCAGCACCAGAGTGTTTCACACCTCTGCATCAGAGTGCAGGGGCACAAGGGGCTGTGGTGCCCTGCCCAAAATGCCACCTGAGCTGCCTGTTTGGTGACACCGAGGTCAGGCCCCGAGCCCAGGCACTGGCACAGTGAGGACACATGGAACAGACACATGGGGAGGACACATTGGGAGGACACATGGAGAGACACACAGGAGGACACGTGTCATGAGCAGTCACAGCCCTGCCTACCTGTCAGGGGCTGCTGCTGGCCCAGGTCCCACACAGTGACTCTCCTCCCTGCACCACTGGCCAGGACAGCGTCTGCCGTGGGGTGGAACTGCAGAGTGTCCACTGGAGCCCCCCCGGGCCCCAGGGTCAGCCCTGAGCCACTGGGAATGTCCTGGCCACCCTCGGGGAGGCGCCACACCTTCACCTGCAGCCCCAGGAGAGAGGGGGTCAGTGCCAGGGCAGGTGAGCAGGACCCTGGCCCACCTGGGCTCGCTGCTTTCCTCAGCTCTGGTTCCTGAGCATTCCCAGGTGATTCCCCATTGCAGCTCGGTGGGATCAGGTCCCAGATGGGAGGAGGCTGATCCTTGACCATGTGCTCTGTCCCCCTCCCTGGGGATGTCCCACTCCTCTCTCCCAAAGCTGGCACCCTCCTCCCCATGCTCCTCTCACTCCCATCACTCCAGCCCTGCAGTGACTCCCAGAGACACCCTGGGGGTCATGAGGTGTCTGTCCCCCCTGTCACTGAGCACTCACCGTCTCATCAGCAGAGCCTGTGGCCAGCAGGAGCTGATCAAAGGGGGAGAAGTCAAAGTCTGTGACCACATCTGGAAGGAGAAGGGCAGAGGTTTGTCCCCACTTTCCCCTGCAGACAGTGTGTCTGCCCCTCTGCTCTTCCCAGCGTGATTCCTTCCCTACACATTCAGCAATGGGGAGCAGTTTCAGCCCCATCCAGGCGTTTTAGAGCTTTGCTGTGAGTGCCTGAGCCCCTGCACTCTGTCCCTCAGGGCCTTGCACCCCTTTGGCAGGGGTAGGAACCCTGGAGGGGGCATCCCCCTGTTTGATCTGTGCACCGACACCCCCACAGGGCACAGGGCACAGCAGGGACAGGCCCAGGGTGTCTGTGCCATGACACCCCCACAGGGCACAGGGCACAGCAGGGACAGGCCCAGAGTGTCTGTGCCATGTCCTGCTGGAGCCACGCTGGTGACAAGGCTCCTTTGTCACCCTGGGCTGGCATGCCAGCGCCAGGGATGCTCCGGCCTGGCGAGAGAAGGGCTGGCACCAGCAGCAGCAGCAGCAGCCCCTCGGATGCATTTGGCACGCTCAGAAAAGTAGGTCACTGTGTACTTTTCTGCTTCCAGGAGACAGGCCCCGGAGGCATGAAGAGCAGGCAGCTCGCTCGGCTGCATCCACCCGGGAGGAGAGAAAATCCATTCCTGCCACGGGAGGAGGCGTTGCTCCGGCACAGCCGCTTCAAAGGATCCTGCCGATCCCATTAGGAAGCCGTGGGATGGCGCTGCCTCCCGGGCGCCCCTCTGGTGCTTCCCAGGGAGCAGAAGAACTCACTGCCTGCTCTTCCAGCCCGAGGAAGCTCCTGCTGCCAGGGGCTGGGGTGGCACGGGCTGGGCACCCTGCACGGCCCTGCCAGGGCACACACACAGGGAGGCAGAGCTGGAACCAGCTCCCACCTTGCTGCTCTGGTGTAATTCTGGGGAAATGTGTGCTCAGTGCCCCTCAGGCTGCCACTGCTGCTCCAGCACCTTGAGGTGGGCACCCTGAGGTGGCACCACCCCTCCCTGTGCCCACCAGAGTGTTTCACAGCCCTGCTCCTCTGCCACAGTGATGCTGCCACTGCCTCTTCCCTGCCACACTCACTGCCCACATCAGAGCTCTGCTCCAGCCTGTTCCTCCTGCCACTGCAGGCGGTGATGCCCCAGTGATGCCAGCTCCAGCCTGGCACTGGGTGTACTGGGAATTTCAGGGTGTGCTATGAGTAATGTGTAAAGGCTGTGCTGGAAGGGGGAGAGGAAGAGCTACATGTTCAGGCCTCAGTGCAGCCTGAGAGATGAAGGAGCATGGATTGATTCCAGCCCGGCAGAGCCCCATAGTGTGTCACCCTGCCCCCAGGTGATGGTCCCTGGCTGGTCCCCATGTCCCTTGCCTGGCAGACAGCCCACCATGGCCTGCCAGGCTTGGACTCAGCCCCTGGGGCCAAACACATCCTGTGGAGGTGGGAGGTGGCACTGACACCCACCTGAGTGGCAGCAGAGCTGAGATATGGTCCTCTTGCCCCCATCCTGGCACTCCAGGGGCACAATGCCCAGCACACCTGCAGGAAAGGGCACAGGAGCAGTCAGGAATCCCCCCAGCCTGGGGCACATGAGGGGCACCCAGCTTTGCACTGCCAGCCACGAGGTGTGGGGCTGCCAGCACTTTGGAGGATCTCAGGGAAAGCCTCCTCCACTCACCCTGGTGTCCCTGGGGCTGGGGGGACTCACCCACCACCCAGACCCCTGGGACAAACCCATCCCACCCCCCAAGCAGTGCTGGGACCCCTGTGCCTCACCGGCAGCCTCGGCGCTGAAGGCGATCCAGCGGCAGCTGGCCTTGACATGGCTGCCACAGGAGGGGACAGAGCCCGCTCGGATACCACTGATCCAGGCCTGGGAAACAGAGGGAAAAACCTCATCAGGGGCTGTTTGTTATGGCAGGGCTGCAAGAGCATTGGCACAGCATGGGCAGAGCCCCCAGCCCCAGAGGAGCTGCCATGCCCATGGAGAGATGGAGACTGGAATGCCAGTGGGATTATCCCGACCTCTGGGGCGTCCCGGGCCAATGTGGTGGCTGCTCCTGCTCCTGTCACAAAGCACAGACACTCACTGGGGCCAGAGGGTGGGACACAGGAGCACCCCAGCTCCCAGACTGTGCCATCTCTGGGCTCTCCCACTGTGGGAAGCACTCAGAGGTCTTTGCAATAAACTGGTGCCAGAGAATCCGGATGGGATGAAAGCTCTCGGGCTGTGAAGCATCACAGGGTCAAGCTGTGGCTGACAGAGGCCGATAAACACCTCCAGCAGCACACATCTCACACAGACACACAGCCAAGGAGCTGCGTCACAGCCCCAAACCCAAACTCCCACTCTGCAGTGTGTCCCAGGGCTGAGCACTGCACTCGTGGGGCCCTGGGACAGCCAGCCCCGCTCCAGGCCACACAGACACCCCACCTCAAGGGGCCATGAGCTCCCTGGCACTCCCAGGGCCAAGTCCAACCCTTGACAGTGGCACTGGCAGGTGGTTTATGGCTGGCACAGGCCTGTGTGCCCACAGCCACCCCTGGAGCTGCAGCGGGTGTCCAGAGCAGTGGATACTCCACAGACTGAACAGATACCTGGGTAGGGAAGGGAAACCACGAGCCCCAGGTTTCCTCTGCTTGCACAACTTCCGTTTGAGGCCTGACAGGGAGCGCTGGCTCCTGCAGCACTTCCTCCCTTGACAGCTGTGCAGACCTGTTAACCCTTCTCGTGCCAAAGGCAGGTTTCTGTCCCCACACCCAGCATGTGGGCAGCGGGCTGCACTGGGGATGGGGAACAGGGCAGGAGCATGAGCAGGATTAAGGAATAAGGGCCTCACTATCTGCATCCCATCACCCTGCACTGAGCCCCCAGATGTGACAGCAGCCACATGTGGCCCCCAGCAGCCAGGGGTGCCAGCAGGATCCCTGCAATGAGGGTTCACAGAGCTGGTCCATGCTGACCCCACAGTTTCCCCGGACACAGGCAGCAGCCCTCAAGGCAGTGATCCTCCCTGCAGCGTGGCAGCAGGGCCAGGAGAGCACATGAAACCATCCTGGCTACATCCCTGGAACAAACTGTGAGCTCTCAAGGGCCATCTGGCAGCAGAGTCCTGCAGATGCTGCCTGAAGAGCAGCATCAGATGTGATCCCTGATGTTTACACTGCGCTTCCTGATCCAGCCAGGTCGGGTGTCTCTTGTGCCTCCATAAACAGCTGCTCAGCTGGGGACACAGCCCAGCTTCCTGCTGTGACACCTGAGATGGGCTTGGTGACAAGAGTTCCTTCTCCACCTGCTGCCCTACGGGGAGTGCGTGGCCTCACTTCCAAGGATATGTTTCATGCCTGAATGGGAAAAGCCTTTTGGAAAGGCCTTGCAGAGCAGGTCCTGCACACAGTGAGGGTATGCTGCCCCTCAGAGCTCCTCCACCATGGAACCAGCACCAGGACAGCAGAGATGGGATGTCCCTGCAGGATGCCATGTCCTGCACAGCCACACTCCCCACTGCCAGTGACTCATCTGGACCTTGGAATTCACAAACATTCATCCCACAGAGATTTCAGTGACCAGAGCCACACTGAGGCTGGCACGCCATGGGCATGGGGGCACCGTGTCCCCTCCCACAGCTGAAGCTCAGAGGATGTTTTGGGTGCTTGCTGGATTTGCAGAGGCGTGTGAGCACAGGCCATGGGTGCGTGCAAGGACAGCTTGGCTGGGAAGTTACAGAGAGGGAGTGTGTGCACACCCAAGGGCTGGGAGCAGCAGCAGCCTCACTCATGGCCACGGTGCTGAGGGGGTGCTGGGTGCAGGGTACCCAGCTTGGGGAGCCCCCAAAAGGGCTGTGTGTCCTGGTAACACCCCCTGATGTGAGTCACCCAGCCCTGCATCTCGACCTCTGCCCTGCGAAATCTGTAGGGACAGGGACCTGGGAGATTGCCCCAGCCCAGCTCTGTGGTTTGGGGGACAGCAGGGCAGGGCTACCCACCATGCCAGGATGGATTGTGATGCTTGGCATGACTGGGGCTGGTTATTCACGGAGCAGAGGCCAGAGCTGGGCACCACATGGGTCTGTGCTGCCCGGCCCCGGCGGTGCCGAGCTCCACTGCTCATGGCCAGGGAGATGGGGCTCAGTGGCACCCGTGGGGTCTGGCACTTTCTCCGTGCCCGCAGAAGCGGGGTGGCACAGCAGCGGGGTGGCACAGCAGCATGGCAGGAGCGAGGCCCAGCGTTTCACACTCGGTGCGTGGTTCCC